CATATACAATGTTCTCAGAGTTTCAAACATGTACAATGTTTATACTTTTCATCGTCATAATCAAAATCTAAATACATGTTTAGATATCAATAAACAAGTTTTGATATTTTTCTCAGACTTCCAATTTGCGCTCCCAAGTCGCTTCCCCAACCTCGTGATGCTTCCACTATACTTTTACTAAGGAAAATGTCTTGCCTTGCAAGACTTGATCCCGTCTATCCAAGACCCTCGCCGATCTCTCCTTATGCGAGGCATCCTCATCTACCTCCAAGTCGGTTCAATCCAAAACGTGCGACGGATCCGGCTCATGTTTCCGAAGCATACTAATATGAAACACGTTATGCACTCTGGAAAGTTGTGGTGGCAACTCCAACCGATAAGCAACCTCTCCGACCCGCTCAAGGATCTCAAAAGGCTCAATGAACAGAGGGAACAACTTCTCACTCTTCCCAGATCTTATCAAACCCCGCCCAGGTGATATTTTCAAAAACACATGGTCTTCCACCTCAAAAGACAAGAGTCTCCTTCTACGGTCGGCATAACATTTCTGGCGACTCTGAGCTGTAACCAATCTCTTACGGATAAGTGCAACTTTCTTCTTCGTTTCTCGAACCAACTCTGGGTCTAACAAAGGTGCATCACCCACCTCAGCCCAACACACTAGAGATCTACAAGGTCGGCCATACAAGGCCTCAAATGGTGCCATGTCGATACTCGACTGGAAACTGTTGTTATAGGCAAACTCCACTAAAGGCAAGTGCCTCTCCCACGACCTCTTGAAGTCAAGGACACAACCTCAAAGCATATCCTCAAGGGTCTGGATAGCGTGCTCGAACTGTCCGTCAGTCAGAGGATGGTAAGCAGTGCTAAAGGTCAATCTAGTGCCCAAGGCACTTTGCAGGCTTTGCCACAATCGAGCCGTAGAATGCAGATTTCTATCTGAAAGATCATCACAGGGACCGCGTGCAATCTCACTATGTCCCTGATATACAAGTCGACAAGATAGTCTACCGAATCACTCACGCGCATAGGTAAGAAGTGCGCAGATTTGGTCAACAGGTCAACTACCACCCAAATGGCATCACTACCCTGTTGAGTCCTCGGAAGGCCCATAACAAAATCCATCGTAACACGCTCCCACTTCCACTCAGCTATAGGTAAAGGTTGCAACAAACCCGCTAGTTTCTAATGCTCGGCCTTTACTTGCTGACAAGTAAGGCATTTTGATACAAACACTGCTACATCCTTCTTCATACCCCTCCACTAAAACTGGCGACTAAGGTCGTGATACATCTTTGTGCCTCCCGGATGCACTGCAAGGCGTGAATGGTGAAACTCTCGGAGTATCTCCTCTCGGCAAGACTCCGGCATGAACAAACAGTCACGATATCTCACACTCTGGTCAGGATACACACTCAAGCCCCTCTTCACTTTCCTACTCGAAATCTTCTTCCTGAGGTTTTCTACCTCAAGATCACTCTCTTGCGCTTCTAACACCTGGTTCACAAGTGTGGGTTGGGTAATTACCGCAAACAAGGTTGCAGATTCAACAAACTCGCCAAGATGTAAGTCAAACTCCCCAAGAGTACCTAACATTTCCCATTCCCGAATGGCGATACAGGCCACACTACCAATAGATTTCCTACTCAAGGCATCGGCCACAACATTGGCCTTACCCGAATGATAATGCAACTCAAAGTCATAATCCTCTATAAATTCCATCCACCGTCTCTGCTTCAAATTCAAGTCTTTCTGAGTAAATAGATACTTTAGACTCTTGTGATTAGAAAACACCTCAAATTTCTTGCCATACAGATAATGCCTCCAAAGTTTCAAAGCAAAAATCATCGCTGCTAGTTCTAGATCTTGAGTAGGGTAATTTGTGTTTTTAACTGCCGTGAGCCATAGGTTACTACTTTTCCCTCTTGCATCAACACGAAACCCAAACCTTCTCGTAAGGCATCACAATATACAGAATAGCTCAAACCCCTCTCCGGAATAATAAAAACTGGAGCGGTGGTAAGTCTAACCTTAAGTTCTTGAAACGACATTTCACAAGTTTCACTCCACACAAATTTGATCCATTTCCTCGTCAATTTAATCAATATGTACATAGCCCGGTTAGACTGGAGCGGTGGTAAGTCAATATGTACATCATCTTTCCTCGTCAATTTCACCAAAATGTACATAGCCTGCTTGAGCGCAATAATGGCCGCTCGAGCGGAGGGCCAAAATTCTGGACAACAAGGTTTGGAAAAAACAAGCAACCAACCTATTCCAAATGCAACCACAACAATCCAAAGGCCAATTTCAAAGAGATACAAGGGAAGGAAGAGGTAAACAACAATATAAAAGTCCTAAACCTGAGTTAGGAATACCACCAGAGTTGGGTCAAAACCGGGATCGCTATATAACAGGGGAAAAAAAAAAGGGTAAAATGGGAAAGAAAAAAAGGGAGTACACTGTAGCAGTACCAAACCGCCTCTTATTTATAATAGTAAGATATATATATTTAAATATTGTTGACCGTAATTTAAATATAAATTTAAGCGAAGGCGACAAAAATATTGAATGGGGTTACTGGCTTGTTCTTGATTGGGCTGCTTTAGGCCTGTTAATTCTGTTTAAAAAAATAAATCTTTTATGTTCTGTATGATTTACTAAAATAAAGTAATTATTATATCATAATGTTCACTTTCATATTTTGTTCCCTAAAAAATTGATAAACAAGATAAAAATTAAATGATCATTCAGCGTTATGAGGGAGTAATTATTTTATAAAGAGGCTAAAACATCATCATTTTATTTCATTTGAGTTAACCATACACTATATTATAGTATTTGTAATTAAAAAATAAAGTTTTCTTGATTTAAAAAAAAAAAACAATTGAATTGGTGAATTTTTAAAGTAAAGGATGGTTATTGTTTGCTAAATGTGTGGATTGTTATATAACACCGTTGATTATATCAGTTGTAATTACCTCTAGAAAAATAACTTTTTTAAGGTAAATTGGTCAAAATTTACATTCAATCAGCTATGTCAAGAAAAAAAAAGTCGGAATAAAATAATAATGTTGTCCATCGAAAATGGACAATCTATGTCAATAACTATGATTTATGTTGATTATAAAAATCATATTAAATTGTTTAGAAAATAGGGCAAAACACCAATAAATTCCAAATTTTAATTTATTAAACTACTTGGTCCTGTTTTTTATTTTGTAGACTAATAAGTCTTATTTGAATGTTAAAAGCTTACTATCATATATCAAAAACATATATTACATCAAAAATAAAAAAGACTAATTTAAGAAAAAACACTTAGAACTAATTAGAGTAACATTTATTAAAATGAGATTTATGAGTAATTTTACCTATAATATTTAAGTTATTTCTATTTATGTAAGCGAATGTCGTGTAGAATTATGAGCTGTGTGAACAAGGATTGGAGACTAGGAGCATGAGCATCTCTGAATAAGCTATCATCTAAGCAAGGGGCACAAGCTAAACCCCCCCCCCCCCCCCCAATATATATATATTTTTGAAGATAATTATTAGACTAGGTGCTTCTTAAAAAGTTAAAAATAAAAACTGAAGTACAAAAATTTTACTTAAAGCATGAAATATTTAAAATTTAAAAATTAAATCAAACAGGTAAATTTATTTATTTTAAAATAAATAAAAACGTCTCATTTTTTGAGTTCATCTCCAAAACAATCAAGGTTAGCTGGCTCTAGTTGTGAGATTGATTTTGGCCATACTGGTCCGCCACATTTCCTTATTTGCTGATGCAGTTGTAGGTGCATGAGACATTTTTACTAGAAAATTACAAATCAATTGGACAATCTTAAAATAATTTTATTTTTATAGAAGTGTTTATCCTATTTTGTGTGGGTCGTGAATTTTTTCGAGCCAATTTTATTTTTAGGCCTTTGTTTGGTGGCTGGCCATTTTTTCGAGGGGCAATGGTAGAGGGTCACAATTTTTGTGGCTCAAATGGCTCAAAACTGTTAAAACGACGTCGTTTGAGCACAAAATATGCCAAAACGACGTCGTTTTGACAGTTTTGAGCCATTTGAGCCACACAAATTGTGACTCTCAAACATTATTCTTTTTCGAGTGTCGTTTTTGTCTGTTATTCGTTTCTAGCCAACAACTTTGTGCCCTTTTTGGTGTTTGCACATGAATTAGCTTGAGGTTCATGTGACAATTCTAATCCGGATATATTGCTTTTAACTATGATTCAACTTCAATATTCCAGGATTTTTTAAAGTTTCTTTGATTTTTGTTTTAATTAAATTTTTTACTTTTTAAATCCACTTAAAAAATAAAATCTAGGAATAATTTTAAAAAGAGATTTTTATTGATAAGTCCAATTTAGAAGTGTTTTAACCCAAGAAGTCCATGAAGGAATTTTTTAACCTATTTAGTCCTATTTATATATAGTTTTATTCCATAAAGTCTATTTTTTTGATTTACACTATTTTCTTGGACACTTATGCACTTATATTTAATTTTGATACCCTTATAAATATTTTTTCAATGATTAGCAATTTAATGATGTGAACATTCATATTTTAAAATTCACATTTGTAGGAATGTAAATTGGCCCATGAGCGGCCCGAAACCCGCCCGCGAGCCAGGGCGGGCCCGGCCCGTTGACAATGTGAATATTCACAATACTTTTTAATCACACATTCTAATTAAAGTGTAATTATATATACACTATTATTTTTTAATCATACTTTTTAAATGAGTGTGATTATATATATATTTTTAATCACACATTCTAATTAAAATGTGATTATATATACATTATTACTTTTTAATCACACTCCCTTGTATAAAATATTCCAAATTATTTTTTATATAAAATATACAATTCCCATTTTTTTTTTAAAAAAAAAAACCCCAACACCAAAACACAAATTTAAAAAAAAAAACATAAATTCAAAATACATTTGACTCTTTGGCTGCTTGTAATCAAAAGCTAGGGTTCATCACAAACGCACACACGGGAGAGAGAGAGAGAGGGAGAAGGAGAAGGAGATGGAGATGGAAATGGAGATGGAGTGCGTTCAATACTATTGGCGCTACCACTGCCGCCGCCACCGCTTCCTTCCTCGCCGCCCTCTCTCTCTGCTCCTATTCTCTTCACTGGTCGTCTACTTCGTATTCTCCACTCTCGTCATCGGTTCCAAAATCCTAACCCTACCTTCGATCTTCTCCAATCCCTCCACAAGCCATATTTTCGAATCCAGACCCTACACTCCCCTTAACTGTTTTAGAACCTTTTGTCTGCAAAGGACTACCGTCGGACTCGTCAGAACGGTAATCTCGAACGGGCTGATTGCGATGAGAAAGATTAGGTGGCGATGCACATTAATGCGTCAGAAACGAAATCGGAAGATTGACAGTTCATCTTTGCCCTAATTTTTCTCTCCATTTCTGTTCAATCGACCCCTCGATCTTCTCTGATCAGAACTCTGCACCAGATTTGTTGGTTCAGTCCAGCTCTAGGTTCAGCCTTAAGGTACACCTAACTCTCCTCTCATATTATTACCTGTGTCAGACGGACCCATATTTGTTGCTCTAAATTGGTTTAGGTTAGCCTAAGCAATTGAATTTGAGTTTCTTAGATTTGAAATGTGGTGTTAGTAGAATTAGATGACAATTAACAAGCTATATATGTTTATGTACTATTTCTCAGTTGTTTTTTCAGTTAACTTCAATGAGATTCGTGGTAAAGTGAAGTAGAATTGATTGTTCTTACTGCATTGCTCTCTTGAGATATAGAATCAATAGCTTCAAAGGATGATTGTGTATTTACTTTTCTTGTGGGTGTGTGTAGGGATGAAGTTGAATTGTTGAATACTCAGTGTCCTCAACATTTGGAGCTGGGATGGCAGACATAAGTTAGTTCTAGTGTAAATGCTACCCCCTTGATTGCTGATATAAACAGGTGAAAAAAAAAGAAGCTTTCCTTTAAAGTATTTTATGCCGCCAATTTTGGTTTTAAATTCATGTGACATATTTCATTTGAATTAATCATTTTTCTCTTCGCCTTGTTTTAAGAGTATTGCTCAAAATTTTCTTGAAAACACTCTAGGAAAGGAAGCCAAACTTTGATGTTACCCATTGGAATTAATATAAAGCAATTTTTTAAAATTAAACTTTAACCCAAGAAAAAAATAAACAGATTATTTTTTCTGTAGCTTAATGACAAAACAAAATTGTGGGTTTGAAATGTAGAAAGAGCCTCTCCACACATGGTGCATCTGACCCCTTTCCCAAATCCTGCAAAGGCGGTAGCCTCTTGCATTGGGCTGCTTTTAACTGACAACACAGTTTTCCCAAGCTTCACAGTCAAATACCCTCCGAGATGAGTGCATTCAGCAGAGAAACCTTCAATGTCTAGAAACTTCAAAAACGAAATAAAATATCTAGTAACTGTTATTCTTTGATATCAAGGATTTGTAGGGAAGATGCTTTATTTTTTGCCTAATGATTTTAATATTTGTGGTGGACAACATGTTTTATGCTGTATTCATATTTTATATCTCAGTGACGGAAAGCTCGATATAGTTGTTCCGTCATTTGTTCACTACCTGGAAGTCCTTAAAGGTTCTGATAGAGATAAAATGCCAGGTATAACTTGTTATTGGTTATGTGTGAAAAGCCAGAGTTGGAATATGAATTTTCCTTCTCATTGCATTATGTTAAATTAGAAGCATTTAACTCATTATTTTCTAGTCTAGTGAGAACTTAGAAGTACAAGAGCATGATGAACTTCAGGTTTTCATGTTTTTAAAATCATTAATCACTAAGGTTTTAAATCGCGGTATTAGGACACATAATGGTAATGGTTCCAAACAATATGCATATTGTTCTGTGAATCGACCTTGTTCTGGTCTTTGCATCTCCAGGTAGGAAGTTACATGCGAATGCAGAAGATCGCGAATGCAGAAGATGATTCCGATGAAAATTTAAAAGTTTGCATTATGATATATGTTTTGAGTTCTCAATGTTCTTTCACAAACTAAGCTTTAGATGTTTTGCTTTCTTAAAATGTTTTGCAGGATATGAAGCTCCAAATATGAGGTATGCTGAATTGTTACTATTATCCGTTGTTAGTAAAATATCGTAGTTGGTGTTGTTTTTAACTTGCATATTTACCCGCAGACCATCAGATACTACCTAAGAAAGTTTTTGTTTTGAGATTTGGTGTTGGACCTGTTGGTGTTAATATTTTATTTTTTTAATCCTTTTGACTTCAAGACATCAATTCATTCAATATCAATGTGAATGTTAATATGTCAATGTGAATATTTATATTGTAAACGGGCCGGCCCGGTCCGACTCGCTGGTTTCGGGCCGCCCACGGGCCGCAGGCCAATTTTACACTCCTATCAATGTGAATGTTAACTTGTCAATGTGAATATTCATATTATCAACGGACTGGGTCGGGCCTATTTTTTTGGCTTGTGGGCCGGCCCGGTCCGACTCGAATTTTTCCGGGCACCCACGAGGATCGACATGAGCCGAGCCCCTACACATTGACGATATAAACATTTATATTGACGGTGTGAATATTCACATTAAGGGTATTTTGGTAATTATGTCACCCATATGACTTATTGAAACATAAGAAAATAATGTGAACTAAATGGAACATAAGTAGATGAAAAGGGTATTTTGGTCTTCTTATCTCAAATTGGACCTAATGGAATAGTCAAAAAGAATATGAGTTGGATGGAATAAAACTCTTAGAAAATGGATTTATCAAAAAAGCTCCCTTTTAAAAAATATTATTAAATACAAGAAAATGAAATATAAATTTTTTTGTATTTTTTAAATAATTTTCATATTTAGTGATTTTTTTAAATTTTTTTTTTCAAAAATACGTATTTTTTGTAAGTACAGTTAAATTGAGTGGATTTGAAAAGTTAAAAAAAAAATGATTAAAATATGAAAAAAAAACACTAAAAAAAATTCAAAAATAATTTTTTTAATGAGAAAATTAGTGAAAAATCTGTTCTAACAAGTATGTAAGGCATTAGGTCCAATGATTCTTTTTTCTTTTTTCTTTTTTTTTTTTTTGTATGAGAGGTCCACAGTTTGTGAAATAATTTAAGTACTTACGTATAGATCCTAATAAGTGGACTTATTGTCTAATAGGTCCTATGGGAAAAATTTGTCATAAAAAAGTCACTAATTGTCAATTTTTAACGACATATATAAAAAATTGTCACAAAAAAATTATTTTTAGCGACAATTTTACCAAGACTTATTTTCAATAGGACTTAATGAGAATTAAGTCCAACTATTAGGACCTATTGATAGTTTACCCATAATTTTAATGAGAAGTTTTAAAAGACATTTTGTTTTCAATTTTACCCATTAACTGTTTTTATCTGCTTGACTTTTAGCTGACTATCTGTTCAAATTTATATCTATCTATTTAATTTTTGTCTATCTATTCAAATTTTTCTGTGTAAATTTTCTACCTATCTGAATTTTATCTGTCCAATTTTTTTTTATCTATTTAAAATTTTTATCTGTACAAATTTTCTATCCAATTTTTATCTGTATAAATTACAATATATGTATGTCTTTTATCTGTACAAGCTAAGTAATCTTCCATTGTGCCACACAGCATCATTATCGTAGCATCTGTACAAATTTTCATATCTATATTATCTGTTCAAATATTGGACATATATGTTCTACTGTCAAATTTTATTTTTTTTAAAAAAAATTTGTTGCTCTTTGTTTCAACAACAACAACAACAACAATAACAATAATAACAAAAACATAAACAAACATATTTGAGCCAATAAAAAAAAAGAAAAAAAAAAAGAACATCAGATCTGGGATGTGTAAGATTATAGGATCTTTATACTAGAAATCAAAACACTATGAATATAAGTAATTACCAAAATATAAACTTAGATACATACCGTTTAATTCCGCCATTGTCTTGAGTTTTGCTTTCTTAAAAGAAGATGGTATTCATAATTAGAAAACCTTAGCATCAGTTCTTTCCATTCTTCTCCTATATCTTTCACGTTGTTTTTCAATGGGACTAACAACCCTTTGATTTACATATAACATGCTAATTTCACATTCAGTCCTCTGTATGGTCTAAAAGACCCTTTATGGGATTTTATTCCCTTCACACTTCCAAAGGAAGTCTTTAAATCCCAAAACAAGACTTTAAACTTTATAGATCCATGTACACTTCTAAAACCGAAGCCTTTAAATTCATTCAGAAATTATTAACTGTAATTGTAACTGTATGAGCTCACTTAAAATAAATACAAATAATATTCAAACGTGAACAAAACTTATAGCTGTTGTAAAGCCCCGAAAATTGGGCAGGGTATATCTACTTATACAACAAACCCACCTGATAAACAAACACATATATATAGCTAACTATTCCATACATCTATTTCCATTTAATCCCAAATGCCAAATGCATACTGTTCACATCTCAATGCCCCAGTTCCAATCCCAAGCATGCATTTTACAACAAGTATGAAATGGAAGCCAAACAGACAATAAGTGTCCTACAGGCTTACAAATTTATCCAAGAACATTCTTGGTTACACAAAATCGAGTTTCAACTCAACACAAATATAGCCCTGGGCTTACATTTAATACATAACTATAAAACAAAAATAGAGCCTCAACTCCGAGTCCTCCCAAGTCAGTGCCTTGGTAGAGGCATATCACTTGCACCTGAAATAGTTTCTCTTATAGGGTGAGTTACAGCCCAGTAGAGATATACTACACAACATATGGACCATGACAAGACTAAAGAGGAGTTTGCTCATGCCATGCTCATGATAAAACAGTTTATCTCTCTTTTTATAAAGCATGCAATGCTGAGATGCAACAACAGATATGAAACCATTTCCATTTTAAACCATATCTGTTACATAAATACAGGCTCTATGAATCTCTAGGTGAGTGCCTGCAAGTAGGCCGAAATGCACTACCATTGTCATTTTTACCAGTAAACTGAAAAGCTCGACACCTAACCATGCGGTTCTACACCTCCTATCCAGATTCACCAAGTATTCATCTTTTCGCAAACAGATACATTTCCAAACATTTCTCAAAAATAGATACATTTCCAATGAAATGAATGTAATGCAATGTCCAATGAAACAAATAAGGAATATGGTTCAATTTACCTAAGTCTCATGCATTTCTACAACAATCATGGCAATCCTTCACCGATAGCCAAAACAGATATTTCTAAACAGAAACTTAAACAATTAATTTCCAAAATTTTTGATAAATACAATTTGTTCCACATCTCATAAAATATGAACAACTACACTAGTTTTCATATCATAATCACGTCCGGTAACCTCTCAAGGTCCATTTCTAACCGTGCCGATTTTATTCCAACAAATACATTAAGCAAAATAATACCGTTAATGCCCAATAAAGCATCATTTTCTTTCCAAACTCGTTCTCCAAGCATTATTCAACTATGACATCCTATTTTGATCAAAATCTCCAAAAGTTAAACATAATTGCTTTATTTTTTTTAAAAAATGCTCTTTTGGTCGCAAACTGGTAAAAATTTCAAAACTGATCAAGTCGAAGTCCATTTTTGTTCAAATTTAAAACATAGCTCTTTCATAACCTTATCAACATAGTACAAGTTTACACTTTCAGAATTTGGGCATCAACTCTTTATTTTTCTCAAAATTTCTCTTTTAAGCAAATAAATCACAAATTTTCCAAAAATTCTAATTAAATTAGATACAACTCTAAGCTCCATATAATCAAGCAAAAGTGCATAAATAAGTGTAGGAAAAATCCCTACCTCAATCCAAGAAGCTTTCAAATTTTTTGGCAACAAAAATTAAATAAGCTCGGAGCCAAACGACGCCTTTTCCGCCCTCTACGTTTTGATCCAAAACACCAGGGGTCAAAAATGACTTATACTAGATCAAACCCATGAAAAATCAACATTTGAAACCCTTTTTGTCTTTTACTCCTCACGGCCAGAACCCAAAGTCGAACAAAATATCCTATTTGGTCACTTATATATATATATATATATATTATAAATAAATATCTAACCAAATATCTAACCATATATATATACACCTATATATATCAATTTAAAATTGCATTTCAACAATGACAAAAATAAATATAATATTTTCTCACCACAAAATATATTTCGTTTAATGGTATACACCATAAATATTCACAACTCTTTTATGGTAATCAAATAATAATAATAATAATAATAAAACCACAACACTATTACATGGTTACTAACGGGTTACAATTTAATCAATTGGGTCCAATATGAATGGAGTTTAATAATTTAAAATAAATCCCCAACTGAGATTAAAGTATAAATTCAATTTGATTCAACTCGTTACAACTGTAGATAAAATGAGAGTTAACACATCAAATTTTAATAGCTAAAATGGTAACTCATTAATGTATCAAAACCAAATACTTAACAAAAATATCTCTACCCAAGCACATCAAAAGACTATAAAATACTTATGTGCTCAACACGTTTAACAAACTCAATTGGTTTAAGCCTTTTAGTGAAAGGATTGCTAACATGTCTTTTGTATCAATATGCTCATAAATGACATCACCATTATCCACCTATTCGCGAACTTTGAAATACTTCAGATTTATATATTTAGCACCACCAGAATTTTTATTGTTCTTTGTAAAGAAAACTGCCACTACTACAAAAATGTTTAAAGATCACACCTAAGGAAATTAAAACATGACACTTTTAATGAAGGTGTGATTAATGACACTTTTAATGAAAGTGTATAGCGATCCTGGTTTTCTCTTCCTTGTTTGCTGTATTCCGAACTTAGTTCCATGGATGTGTTGTTGTCGTATTCTCATTTCCGTCCTTTACTCTTTGTATGTGAATCTTGGGTTGTGTTGGGCAGGTTTGAAACAAGTTGGTTGTATTTAGAAACCTAGAGTTGATGCCCAGAATTTTTCCTTCACGCTCGAGCGGGGATTTTGACGCTCGGGCAGGCCCCTTGATTTTGCTTCTCCGCTCGAGCGGGCATTTTGACGCTCGAGCGTGATTTTCCATCTCTCAGTATTTTGTCTGCAGGTCATTGGACGCTCGAGCGTCCACTTTCACGCTCGAGCGGGGACCATCGACTGCAAAACTTCTGGAGGTGTGCATCCGGCGCTCGAGTGGCGCTTTTGACGCTCGAGCGTGAGTCTGTGTTTGACGCTCAAGCGGGGAGTTC